TGTTACGATACAAGTCGACCTCCTCTGGCTTGAATATCTTGGTGCGTTTGATAAACTTCCAGCTGAAATACAAGACAGGGAAAATGCCGACCATGGTGTATCTAGTCATGTTAGCGTTCCTCCCTATGCGGCTCGGAAACAGTCGTGCTTAGCTTACGAGAACAAAAAGTCGGGAATGTTCCAGTACCCGTCTAAGGGCAGGAAGACGGTGTATCCACCAACAAAGGTCATGATGAAGGTGCCAATGAGGCCGTACCAGGCGGCGTACGGCTGGAACCAGGCCTTGTATGGCAGCGAGTCGCGACTGATACCCTGGGCCTTGAGAGCGCGGTAGAAGCCCAGGTACGCCGTGCACATGCACGCAAAGTTGATCAGCTGCGACGCGGTGACCAGACTGACGAACCAATCCAACACGACGGCCGTGTTAGCGCTGAGCTGGAGGAAACTGAGAAGGCCGATGAGCAAGACAGCGATGACGCAGTAGACCGGAACGCCCTTCTTCGTGCATCTCTTGAAGAATGCAGGCGCCTTGCCCTCGAGCGCAAGTCCGTACAGCGAGCGCGAGGCGCAATACACGTAACTGTTGCCCGCGGAAAATGCGGCCGTGAGGACCATTGCGTTGACAATATGCGGCAGGACCCCAATCTTGAGACGATTCATGGCCACGACATAGGGCGAGGCAGAGGCACCGGGCTGACCGTCCTTGAAGGCGCGAGTGAGTTCCTCGTCGTTGTAGGGCACCAGGATGCCGACGCAGAGGGAGCCAAGAACGAAAAAGGCGGTAAGACGGTAGAAGACGGCGTTGAAAGCGCGGGGCATCACCTTGCGCGGGTTCTCCGCCTCGCCGGCAGCCATGGCGACGTAGTCTGGTCCGGCGATGGTGAAGGAGGCTTGGATGAGGCACTGCAGAAACCCGAGAAACTTACCAAGAGAGCCACTGTAGTAGAGTTCCGTGAAAGCTCCCGGCTCGTACCAGTACCTGAAACCGAAGCGGTCTCCCAAAGGGTTCCCGCCGAGCATGACGATGAAGGTGAAGATGATGAGGCCTACGATGAGGAGGAACTTGCCGAGGGCGGCCCAGAATTCCGTCTCGCCGTACCACTGCACGGCCATGACGTTGATGACACCGTACAAAACGAGAATGATGGCGATGATGCCCCCGGCCGGGACGACGTCGCTCCAGAAGTGGATGATGAGGTTGCATGCGACGACCTCGAAGGGAACGAGGGCAGCTTCGAAGACGAAGAAGTTCCACCCAGCGGCAAAGCCAAAGGCTTCGTCAACGTAGCGGCCGGCGAAGCGGATGAAGGGACTCGAGATGGGGAGGTAGGTGACCATCTCGGCCATGCTGAGGGTCACGGCCAGAATGAAGGTACACCATATGCTGAAGGCTATAAACAGACTCGCGGGGCCGCCGTTGAGCAAGCTCCTTCCGATTTGTACCTGTGATGGGACACGTGAGTAAAGTGCAGTCGCCAGTCGGGGAGTACAGAGTCTCAACGTACGTAGAGAGCAGTTCCTGTACTTGACGTCAGTATTACTTCTCCTGATCTCGCAGCTGAGACGACGTACCGATCGTGCCACCGATACCAATCAGCTGGATGTGGCGTGACTTGAGCCGACGATGAGTGTGATCCTGCTTGTTGCCCGAGTCCAGCGAGGAACGGCCGCCTTCTTCCAGGGGCTCGCCGTACGGCTCACCGACGAGCTTTTCATCGGGGAAGCGCGCGCGGTTGGAGTAGTCATAGTTCGGCGGGCCGTCGTGGTTCCCCGCGCGCTCGATGCCGGTGGATGACATGGTGGGAGAAGGGGGAGAATGCGGGGGATTGAGCCCGGTTTAGTGGGGGACTCCGGCGCGGCGTCGTCTCGAATCGTCCGGGTCGGCTCACGAGCGAAGGTCTTTGGGGATCAACCCAGTGTGTGGGATCAAGACGGGCGAGATGTATAGACTTGGGAGCCTTGGCGAGGTCGCAGTTATGTGGCCTTAGGGTTACCGAATGGCCTTGAGGAGGAGTGAGAAGAACTGGACTTTGAATTCCATGTGGCTGTTCAGGATGAAGCGCCGAGAGTGCTCGATTCAGCTACCGGCTTGAAGTCATTCGGGTCAGACACGCATTGAGAGAGGAAAGCTTCAGGGAAATCGGAGAAGAGCGAGAAGGCCAAGAAGACAACCTGCGCGCACTCGACACCGGGGCTGCAGATCCCTTTTAAGAAAGCACAAGAATTCCCAGAGATCAGGGACCGATAGCACACTGCAGCGTCGCACCGGGCAGAGCAGCAGTCTAACAAAGCGGCGGGATAGTGGGGGGACGGGGGAGGGGTGAGTCTGCAAGAGAGCGGATCGTTCTTTGACGGATCTTTGGCGAATCGTACCCAACGTGGAAAGGGTCCGAAAGGGGCCTGGATGCGACTGGGGAGGAGGATGGGGGCGGCGGCGGCGGCGAAGAGCCCAGTGTTCACGAATGGCTACCTCCTCTTCCTCGGAGCATGGAGGCGTGCGAGTTCTCCCGAACTGGTCAATTAATGTCGGTAATACTCTGTACACATGGTGTCCTCGTAGTACTCTTCCAACCACTCACTCACAGAGCAGGCCAGTCGGCACATGTCGGTTCAACCTTCGCAAGGTCCAGGCTGCCTTAGTTTAAGTTCTGCGCCAAAAGGTAAACAAGGACCCACTGACACTTGTGAGGGGCGTCTGGGGGCAGATGCGATGAAGGGTGGTGACGCGATGGAGCGCCGGGATAGACAAACACAGAGACAACTCTTATCGAGGCATCCTGAGAAGGCAACGAGAGACGGTCTCAACGCGCCCCTGTATTACGGCCATATCGCGGTCTGCTAATCTGGCTGCATACGTCAAAGTGTGCGCGGGGAGAGCAGAGGGGGAAACGAGGTTGACCAAAGCTCCCCTGTTGGGCAAGCTGCGCATGCTTCTGTAGGAAGCGCATCGCTGTCGCATACCTGATAGCACTCGGTCTATCGATCCAGGCGCACGAAGAACCATCCTCAGCGTCGAGCCCATTCGTCAGCGCGTCCCGGCAGCTTGGCATCGGTGTGTCCGGCTCATGTTCATCCCACGCGACGCCATGCGCCAAATTGCGACTGGTACGACCAAAAGAACGAGGGATTAATCTTTACGCTGGACGAACCCCCGAAGCGACCAACGAGACGGTTCGAACCGAAATGGCGTGCTTCGCGCGGGTGAAGGTGTCGTTCCCAGCTGCCGTTGCCGCATGGCTTGGGTGGCAGGTCCGGCTACTTAAACCGCATGCCTGGTCCCGAACTCGGGCCATCAAATGACACTGCGACGAACCCTTTGGCCAAGCGAACGCGAAGCTTTTTGGGATGAGCGACAAGCAATGTGGCTGGCGACCGGTGGGACAGGGCATCGAAGGGGCCGCTTCCTCGAGGGCCTGGGCCTAGTTGCCTTCCACCTCTACCGTTGTCGAGGGATGCGCGTTCTGTCACAGGAAGATTGGGCAGCATCTTGGCTTTCGCGTGGTAAAAACCCATCAATCCTGATTCTGGTCCGCAAGCCAGGGAGAACAATTGCTCGTTGGTTTCGCGGGTGGCTGGTCAAGTTGGCTGTGCTTCCGCGTCCCTTGCCCCCCTCGCCTGGCCAGGAAGCCCATTGCCAGTCCCCGATTGCGTTACTGTTGGCTTTTTGATTGCGGTTCTTGGCATCTTGGCAGAGGCACGAAGCCAATGCTGTGCCGTAGTGGCCGGTCAGGATCCCTTGGCATACGGAGGTTGCAATGGCTTCTACGTGGCGTTATCGAGCAACGATAACTCGCAGACTTGTAGCGGGAGTGTGTCTCATTGGGCGGCGAGTCGGTCAGCCCATGGCTGATAGGCTTGATAGGACGGTTGGTCGTCGTCAAACGTGAAGGTGGGAAGCTGGCCACTTTCTTCCTTCGCCCGGACAGATTGCTGGCGATGGAAAAGGTCTAGCAGGGTTTTTTTTTCTTTCTGGTAACCCCACCCCACCTCAACCTCCACGAAGAGGCCGATGGGCATCGTTGAGACTGCAAGTCTACGGCTGGGTACTGCCGGGGGCCACTTTCAGCATACCTTGGCTCGTAGGCATCGTAGCTGCATTTCGAGCCGTCTGGGTCATCGGGAAAACAAGAAGTGCCATTCGCTAACATCCGACGACCCGTCTTTCCCATAGGTTGCAAGCCACGGTTTATCTCTCCGAGGAATTGAGTTTCACCGCCATTGTCTTAGTGGCTGATGTGGAGCGCGAACTGGAGGAGTCGTCGGGCCGGCCATGGGCTTGGAGAGGAACTACTTTGATCGATTCTAGCAGAATCAAGATTGAGCTCATTCAAAGCACAGTGGTGTGATGTTATGCACCCGAGAAGATGACCTAGGAGCTAGGGCTACCTGTGTTAACAGCATCTATGAGGAGGCAGAATTTCATGTGGCGTTTCTTCTCTGGCGCAGGAACCACGCGCCCCCGGGAACTTAGAGGCATTGACAGGCGCTCCACAAGCCACCGAGTGGTCTATGGGTGCAGTGCAGAGAAAGAAAATGCACGCCCACTTACAGTACGCGCCGAGCCCCGCGGAGCAAAGGCTCACCTCGTTCCACAGTTGCTTGTCCATGATCCACGAATTGTTTTCACGTGCTTTTCCCATGGTAATCAGTCGGTTTGTTTGTTCTTGTTGACCAAGGAATCCGCAACTGAAATCGCCTCACTTCTAAATCGCTCTGCCGAGGTTGAGAACATGCGGGGCAATCTTAGAAGAGTTGAGGAGCCCCAAAAAGCCAGACCCAATTTATGGTCATTACTAGGCATGGAGAAGAGAGGCACTCTTAGGGTCCCGTTGTTTCTTTCGAAAAACACAGAAGAAAAACTCCAGGCTTTCAAAACTGTTCTACGGTCGGTTCAGGCTGATAGTTCTGAAGCAGCACAGAATGATTCGCTGCTGAATGTGGGACGCTGGCATCTATAATTCTTTCTATCGGAAAGGTCTGCAACAATAACCAATCAAATAGGTCTATTAGTCTAGTTGGTTAGGACGTCGGATTCTGATCTTGGAACTTCCGTAGGCCCAGGTTCGAATCCTGGATGGACCTCATGTTTTTGTGAATCAACCACAGGTTCGTGACGTTGAATGGAGGAATTGTGTTCACATTCGTTTTGCCCCTTACCCGCTGCGATTGGCTTTTGTTCCCATGTCTATCTAGCCTGCAGTATACAGAGGCCACTTACGAATTTTTTAATTGTGGATGGATTTCACACCTACGGCTGCACATTTGTCTACCGGGTTCTACGGCTCCGCACGCAACCCTCTCATCAAAACCACTATTATCCAGTCGTCCCACCAATGTCTGCAATCGCTAAACGAACGAGAGTCTGCGCACCTTGGTCCGGTGTCTTGGTATCTCCTCCTCTCGTCATACCCGCCTCGACACTGCGGACGCTGGTGGAAAGGAGGTAGGAACCTCCAGCGAAACTGTCAGAGCGCCTGCCACTGCTGTGCAAGCGAGCGCAGCGCTCATAGGCTAACTCGAGTTTGTATCCAGCCGCGCAATGTGTATAATCCTGCAATTGAAGTGTTTGAAGCGTATTGAAGCAGCAACCCACGGCTCCTAATGCGGTCGGAAGGCGTCAGTGAAGACCGAATGGCCGACGTCCTCCTCCTTGTCACCGCCAGCAGCAGAAGATCTCTAAAAATCCGCGCGAGAGAAAAGCAGAAAGATTTGTCTATTTTTGAGGCAATCTAGTACTCATAAAATGGGTTGAACCACTAGACCCAAGTCCTCGCCGGCTGACATGTGTGTGCCACTGCAATCCTCCGTAAACTTCACCGCCAACCCTCCAACCTTACTTTCCCACGAATTCAGTGCTGGTATCTGAATCCGCCATTGCCTCATGTTATGACCCTCCGTAGTATATTAAACCAGACATGCACAGCCTTGTCCATCGCACCCGTGAGAGGCCTGGCTTTCACACATTTGTACCATAGCTGAACCGCCTACTCGATCTCATCAAAAGCGACACGGAGTCCGGCAGCAACAACATAGTCTCCTTATGTGTGACCCTCGCTGGAAACCAACCACATGTTCAACTCTCACCAGCAAAGTCCGACTTCAAGCTTTCATCGAGGTCAACATATCGGCAGTTATTCTCATTCTCGGGGAACACAAAAATCGATACGCCCCCGTTCCGTTGTTCTACGTCAAGGCAACTACGGTGGAGGTCCTTGGCCATGTTTCTTATCAAGAAAGCTCTATCTGTATCCCTGTTTACTTTTCCAGAGAGCACATGGCCAATGGCGGCATTCTGTTCCTCTCAAGACGTATTAGTTGTTACCCTAAAACTCCAGCTTCTCGGCCTGTATGGGTGCAGTCTTGATTCGCCACTGCTTGCCAAAGAAAAGTTCATGCAAACATGCCTTGAAGGTAAGCTGGAAGATCCCTGTGAGCAAACCGAAACTCTACTGAGAATTCTCCGAAAAGACTGGTTTTCTGTATACTCGATGGCATGAATTTCTTCGAGTCTCCTAGAGAGCGGGGAGATGAGATGTTTGTGGTTATAGAGTCTTTCCTACCTCAGGGACTGGAGAGGCACCGAAAGACGCATGGAGCCAAGCTCAAAGGTATTTTTTAGCTGCCCCGTCCGGTCGCAATAGTCTCCGTGACGTGCGACGACTACGAGATCCTGACTGTTCATGAAGGCTCGTATTCCGGTAGAGAGATTCTTCTAGACAACCGGCTGTGGCGAAGGATTGCACTGCATGACGATATATTAGAGCTAACCAATAACGAAAAGGTACATGAAAACAGCGACCGCGGTTGATTCGAGAGTCACATCGGGTTTTCAGCTGTTCAAATACAACCCTAAGTAATCATACACGAACCGCATCTGTTCTAGATGCCTAGAGCTACTAGGGCCCGGCGTTTGAAGATCAGTCTTTAAAATTCTCTCTCAAAGCTTGGGAGGATATCTCTAATATGCCTCAGCGTTAAAATCAACCTCGCTTGTTGTCGTGATTATCTTAGCTAGAGGTCTCGCTCACAACACAACTCTCAGGAAAGAGATCGCCTGACTATTGCTTGTTGCGCTTCTGTAGCGGCGCTGTGACCGATGAAGGAAATATTTGAGTCTACTATACAAGCGGAAATGAGGGTTATTGTATTCATGTTGTCGTGGCGGTTGCATCTGACAAGAGTCCAATCACCACCTCGTTGCCTCTCACGACCGCCCGCTCGAGCATGGTTGATCCGTATAGATTCTTAGAACACCGGTCTGCTCCATATCCTAAGAGTATCTTTACCATACCCCCTTGCTCGTTCTCCACCGCCCATGACAGCGAAGTCCGGTCGTAGCTGTCACGAGAATTTGGATCGGCCCCTTGTTCTAGAAGGAGCTTGACTGTCGCCTCATGACCGTTCCTCGTGGCCAACAGCAGCGGTGTCTGGCCGTACTCGTCCTTGGAGTCCAGTTCGACGCCCTTTGCAACGAGTAACTCAACCACCGCCCCATGCCCTCCCGCAGCAGCCCAAGCCAGTGGTGTTTGTCTGCTGCGGTCCCTGGGCTCCGCATCAACGCCCTCTTTGAGGAGTAGCTTAACGACCGCTTCGCATCCTGCCGCTGCCGCCAACGATAGCGGTGTCCGTCCGCTAAGGTCCCGTGATTCAAAGTCAACCCCCTTTATGAGGAGTAATTTGACTGTTGCTTCGTGTCCTGCTCTAGCAGCCCGAGAAAGCGGGGCCTGCCCGTAGTCGTCTTTCGAGGTGGATTCGGCATTCTTCTCAAGCAATAACTTTACCACTGTCTCATCACCTCCCGCTGCCGCCCAAGACAGCGGTGTCCTGCCATCACTGTCTTTCGAGTCTTTTTCAGCATTCGCGCCTAGAAGAAACTTGACCGTAAATTGGTGTCTGTTCCTTGCCGCTAGCAGGAGCGGTGTCTGACCATGGTTGCTGGCCGCGTGAACGTCGCCTCCATGGGCTACGGACTTTTGTACCGTGCCGTCTTGCCCATTTTCCGCGGCCCACAGCAGAGCCGAGCTTCCAGAATACTGTGCGTTGTGGCAGTAGAGATATGGGGTCAGAAATTCGTGGAGGAAACGGTTTGTTTGGCTGAATGCGCTGATGTCTCCTTCCGATTCTAGATTCTGTGCTATAGAATCAAGCAATTCATTTGATAAATCAAGCAGCGGCATTCTGAAGTACGTAACTTGATGCAAAAGACACGCTAGGTGACAGTGAGATAAGCGGCCAGATTGCGGTCTTGAGAATGGTGGTAGATTGTGCAGGAAGTTGGTTGATTCAAGAGACTTGTCACCTGGGTTGTTTCAAGGTTGGCCTCGACACAAGACAAAGTTGGGCTACTAAGCGACGGAACCCTAACCCCAAATCCCACCAGGACTACTCTGTTGGATTAACGCGTAATTGTAGAATAGAACAAGGGCCTCGCTGGGAGACATTAGAGATTAGGAGCATGGGGTGAATCTACGGCTTCTGCGCCTTAGTAAAGCTAGATTCTAGCTAGAGAGGAACAGTCGACCCGTGAGCAATGATAGCCACCTCACTTCCCGTCGTCATCTCCGTTCCCCTGAATTTGACCATTTACAGCTACTTCTTCCTGGATCACGGCGACTGCAGCCTCCCGATGAAGTCGGGCCTCAATATCGCGCAGCTGGGCCTCGCGAGCCAGCAGTTCCTGGCGCTTATCGTTGATCTCGCGCTGAATCCTCACCTCGATCTCGCGGAAACGCTCTTCTTCCTTTCGCAGTTGTTCCTCTTTCAGGCGTAGTGACTGCGAAGTCAGGTCTTCTGGAGCTATGGTTGCGTCGCTGTAATTATATTCGTTAGCCAGAGCCACTTTGTGGGAAAGGCGCTATCAAGGAGAAAACATAAAATGACATACGCTCCGTCACCACCCTCCATGGTCTTCGAGAGCCTTTCGGTTCGATAGTTTTCGTACAAGAAGTCAAAAGTGACCTCCTTTAGATCTCCTAGATGGCTATGCAGTAGTGCGGATCGGATAGCCAGAAAGTCCGAGTGGCGTGGGTTTTCCACCTCGACAATACCCCAGGGGTATTGTCGGGCGCGGACTTTCCGGCCAGCAATTTCAACGACGTCTTCGCTCCCAACGATAGCGAAAGGCATCAGACCCCGTAGCTCGGCGTTCTCTTCAACAGTATCTTCATCATCCTCCTCAACATCGTAAGGGAAGTTATAGATGGGGATGCGGTAGTGTTCGATGTCCTCCATGATCAATTTCTTGGTTTGAGCTAGCTCGGCGGGGTTCAGGGAGTCGGCGCGGCCAATCACTGGGATAACGTTGACGCGCGGAGCGAGGCGCTTCATAAGCTCGATGTCTAGTTCTCGGAGGCTGGGAAGCGTCAGTGGTCTGAGGTACGTAGCGATACGATTGATCAAAGGCCCTACGGCTGAAGTGGCAACTTGGACGGAAAAGCAATGGGAAACGTACCCGTGGCCAGTCGGAGTGATAAAGTAAAGCATGGCGTGGACTCTGTTATCCCTAAAGCGAGGATTTCGCTTAATCCGCGACTCCTCTACGAGATGGTCGTCGTACTGGCGTTCAAGGTAGCCGACAATCTTTGAGAAGCTGCAATTCTCCTGTTAGTGCCACTGATCGACAAAATGACAAGGTCAACAATCAATAGGCCTCACCTAGCCTCGTTATCGATCTCATCTCCAAAGCCGGGTGTATCGATGATGGTGAGAGAAATGCAGGTACGATCTTCCACTTCTAACTCTGGGGTGCGGGTTAAAGTTAATAAACTCCCTGAATGACGAGGATAGACGTACCAACAGTAATTGGGTTGATCTCAACCCCTTGATTTGCTGGGTCGCCGCTCTCGTTATCTGACTCCTTGTGCCTCAGGACGCTTTTCTCGCAGAGCATGTTGACGAAGGTGGTTCTGCCTGCACAAACAAGTCAGCCCGCCCGAAAGAATTCTTTCTCAGTCTCAGGGGGCGGCAGCTGACGAACCAGTTCCTGACGCCCCGCAGACCATGAGGGAGAATTGGATGCCCTTTTTCGCATTCTTCTTCTTCTTTCCGCGGATCATCTATTTTAGAGAGTTTCAGTCAGCTAC